TGAGCATTTTGAGCACACTTTATGCCTACTTTGTGGCCACAAATCAACACTTTGCGCTCACGTGACATCTAAATGATGGCCGCCGTTGACTTTGATTGCCTCCATTGTTCAAATTCCCACTTGACGAAGCATTCAAACGTCAACTTTCCATCATGTGCCCCGTTCAACTCTGACGCTCGTATGGATGACGTCGCTCCCGAGGGATCCCGGCGCTTGCCATTGAGACAGCTCGTCGTGTTGCTCCCTCTCCCCGGTTTGCTCGCGTCCAATTCTCTTCGCTCCCTCCACCTTCCGTTTGCCTCTCCTGTTCCGCTTCGCGCTGCGTTCCGTCTTTATTGCTTCCCTACGGACTCCCCGGCGACCGGCCGCATCACGCTCGAACGGAAACGAGGCTGCCTACGCTGAGTGCGATCGCTCCAGCAAATGCGCCTCGGGACCGCAAGCTCAAAACTCTCTTGCCCATCGCGGCATGCGTGCACGTTGCGGTAACCGGTCGATCGCGGGAGGCGCGTCGCTTAAAAAGGAGATCTTTGGTCAAAAAAGGCGGCGGTGGTTCAGACGTGACATCCAGAATAAGACGATAAGTTTGGGCGGTTTCCAAGAGAGAGAGAGACAACTTGCTGCAGTGCCTCCATCATTTCCCGGAGGCTGAGCGATTTTGCTCGTCTCCTATATAGGAGGCCGCTCTCCGGAGGGCCTTTAGATGAGCAAGGCGTCATCAAGAAAAGCTCCACATCAACATTTCGGGCCCCATAGCCTCTATACATGCCTACAAATCGGTCTTTGATCCGCTCCCCGGAAACCAGCCGATGGCTGCGATAACGCCATCGCTGTTTAAGGCGGGAAGGAGACGACAGCAGCGGTGATGGAAGTGGGTTTTTTTTCTGGCAGGACGACCGCTGTCTCGTGTCATGTGGAGAATGTGCGCTGCCCTCTAAACTGGAGTGATGGGATGTTTTTTTTTTTTTTTTTTTTTTTTTTTTTAATAAATAAGACTCAGTGTTCTCAGACCACATTTTGCATGTAGCCCATTTGATTGTATAGTGGTCTTTCCACTTGCATCCAATTTTAACATACACGTTTTCTATGTTGGAACTTCATTATGTTGAGATTGAACACCGCCATAATATAACCTCTGTATCTGCAGCTGTATTTGCTATTAACCCCTGTGCAAATCAGTGAATAGCATCTGATTTGAGCAGGGTCAGACACATTTCTCAGTGGCTCTAAAATCCATTGCCTCCACTGTGACTCAGGCTTTGTAGCAACCTAGAGACATATGCCCACCGGACCAAAAAGTAAAACTTTGGGAAATTGATCCTGTTGAAGGAGCATCTTCATTATCGCTAAAAAAAAAAAAAAAAATGATTATTCTGACATGTACCTTACAAAGCTCGACCCTCGTGACAGCGTAGCTCGAGGGACAGAACGAATACGAGCATTTGAACGGTCGTTCGTCGTAAACGTTTCCAATTAAATGGCCGCCAACTACGATGTACATTACGGCAATAATGTAGCGAGTCAATCGGGAGCGTTGCTAAGCAACAGGCGGGAATCCCGCGCCCTACGTTTTGTTCGTTAGCAAGGTCGCGGCGGCAGTTCGCTACCCGCGGTTCGTCGTCACGAAGGCCTTTTTTTTTGCTAATCGGTGGGAAAAATCTGGTCGTTATTATGAAGTTCACATGATCAAGGTGTTCGTTGTCACCATGTCGGCAAACGGAAAATGAATGACGTGAAATCGGGACTTTGCCATGTGAACGTTATAGCGGTGAATACGAGGGTCGACTGAACCGTGTGGAAAAAAAAAAGTACAAATACTTAAAGCCGTACCTGGGATGACACATGCGGGTTCTTTAAAAAACAAGAAAAAAAAATGTCTTTGGCATTGAATGAGCTATTCTGGAGTCAGCGGACACCACTTGCATAGCTCGGAACCGATTCAGATTGGCTTGTGCAGAAGAAATCACATTTGCTGTCCGCACGGGAAAAAATGTCAGCGGTTTTTGGCTTTCAGGTGAAATTACACGCTGAGCGCTCAATGCACCTTAACCTTGATAGGTCAACTTCATTTGACCTTCTCCAAGCTCCGTTTAATGTGCCATCTGACTAACCCGAACAAAGCAGACGTTGTTTTTGCAAGGATCAGCCAATGTTTGATTGGAGGCTCCAAAGTCCAATTTTTAGGTGACTCAAGTGAACGGACCGAAACAGGCACATTGACACGGAGTGACTCTTTTTCCTGGCCGGTTAGCGATCAAATCCAGACTTGACACTTAGGAAGATGACATGACAATTCACATGCTTTTGCGCTGCCACTTTTTGATGCTATCGGTTGTGACCGCAGGTTCCTGGCCAAGCATTGGGAAGAGAACAAATTAGATGAGAGGTGTCGAAGCAACTTGTGAAGAAAACACTTTAATCTCCTCTCAGCGGGGCGCAACCCTCGCGGCCGTTGACCACTTTGCCTCCAGCCAACGTGCCTCGTGCCAACTCGCGTCCTTACCTGCTAGCATCCAGTGAGCATCTGGCCCTGCCATTTGACTGAGCTGCATTCGCCCCAATTTTGCATGTTAACATCCTGACAATGTCCCAGTCGTGGACAGGCCGGCGGGCGACTCATGCGGTCCCGGCGGGCTCACTGTGCAGCGTGAATGCTAACCGGAAAATGGAGCGCACCTGTCTTGCGCTTTCTGTTCTTTCCCTGCCGCAACACAGCCGATTGAAATGATGAGACTGATCAGCATTCTGATTTGAATCCGGCGCGTTGGGAGTTGAGGGAACATCTAAAACATGCAGGCCCTGGACACGATCCCTGAGGTACACCATCCGGTGGCCAAAATTCAAAACGATTCCTATTTACTTTGTTCATGTCATTTAAATTGATTTGAGATTGATTTAGTTTTTTTTTTTTTTTAATGTACGTTTTTATTTGCATGCATTCATAGTGAGTGGATCGAAAGGGAGGAAGAGATGGATTTCCAAAGGCATTTTTCATTTGCAATCGAACCGAGAGGGCACAATGTGAATGGCTCCTGAATCCACTGTAAATCTCGTTGCAATAACGGCCCAACGTCATTGTATCGTAAAACATGCCACTATGTGGCTCCGCAGACGAGGGAGAAAGCCGTACGGCCGGGACTTTTAGGCTAATTTATTTTGGACCCGATTCCCCTGCGAGAGCGTTGCTGTGAAACGCAGCGTTGTGTTTGTCTGACCTCTGATGAGCGGATCTTTTTATGTCCCCCAGGTTCCCGTTGCTAAGAGACTTGAGTTGAAAAACAGATGAATTCAAAAAAGAAAAATACAAACGCTAAAAGTGAATTCACATCGGCCGTGCGTGCAAAAGGCCCAGCGTAGCGTGGTGGGTTGTGCAAGCGCTACGTCCCAATGCCCTCCTGCATTCTTTTTGTACCTTTTGATGTTTCCTTTGCTAGTCACTTTTGATTATCTTTTACAAAAAAAAAAACCCCAAAAAACAGCATATTGCGTCCAATTGACAAATTGTTGATTTGACCTGTGGAAAACTCTGGCTACTGAATAATTTCATTTCATCATTTATTGATGGAGAAGACAGCCGGAGGCTCTCTCAGCAAACTTAAAGTCAAAGGGGGACGTTGCCCGCGCAAATCGCCTAGCTCCGCCTCTGGTTGTCAAGCATAAAGTCATTCGGCGGACTCTTACCCTTCGCTCTATTTTATCACTGATTGTTTGAGGGATCAAATGATGGCTTCTTTGTCGCGTTTCACATTGGGAGTAGCTCGGCCGTATACGACGCGCATGCATTTTTCCCGTGCCCACCAACACGTGCGCAGGCCCGGCAAGAAGTCCAAATAATTGGCGCTGGAATTTGTGTAAACATGGCGAAATCAAACGTCCCCAGCTGATTTGTGAGGCTGCATGAAAAGAAACATTTGGGTACATATTCATCAGGAGTCTTTTGAAATTGTGCGTCCTTCACAATCAAAATCGTAATCAAAGCGTTTTCATGCAACAAACCAATTGGCACGTCTCCTGATGATGTTAGTTCATCGGATGAAAAAAAAAAAAAAAAAAAAAGGGTGTGATTAAAATAACCAGTGGTGGCTTTTACGCGAAGCAGCGTTCAAACGCTGCCTGGACGTCAGGGGTCAACAAAAGTCTCCAATAACACCACTAAAAGTCATCCAATGGGCTTTATTTTTTCGGGGGGGGGGGGCCCAAAAAAACCCCTAAAAGTGGCCTTTGGCAATGCTGAGTGTCCCCCACCGCATAAAACAAACGAAGTGCGCCTTTTGACTGTGTGCTAAGGAGCTGGCCTCGCCACAGCTGCGCAAACACGTTTCAAATGGGCAATAATAGCGGGCAGAGCTGCCAAGAAAAAAGGAAACCAAGCTCAGCTAAGTGCGAACGGACGAGCCCGCCGCCCATCCGCAGCCTCGCGGCATTAAAACGCTTCCTCGTGCAGAAATCAATGTCAAGCGTGCCAACCAAAGCGCGCCGACGCCCAATCCCAAAGCCCCGCCCAAGAACTGCGTTGCAAAGTACTTGCCGATGGTGTTTCTCACGCGGTGATTGGACGCCATCCTCTCACATCTGATTTCCAAACTATGGCCCGGGGGCCATTTGCGGACCGTCAAACTTTTTTCAGCGGCCCGCGATGTGACACCCCCCCCTCCACCCCCACCCCAAAAAAGACATTTGACATGGGCCGCAAGGTTAATTAAAAAAAGTGAATGTGGCTGAGTGAGAAGGGAGGATGGTCAAACGTGAAAATGGACGGCTGGGTTGAGATGCAATTTGTGTCCTTGTTGTTTCTGTCACAATGGAGGGAGGCCACGTCTAAAAAAAAAAAAAAAAAAAAGCTGATCGTTGCAACGATGGGCCAAAAGCAAGTTGATCGAATGTGATGATAATCACTCCTGTTTTTGGTGGAGCTGCTGTTTGAGATGGTGCAGAAGATGTTGACAAAGAGCTGCTGCCGCGGAGTGGAAAGATGAATCACTCTTGGCACGTTGGCTTTGATAGGTCAGGTCTCAGTGAAAGGGGGTCTCTTTTTCGCACATGCGGAACTCCACAAGAATTCTGGACCGAGAGTGGGCGGAGGAAGCGGAACGCAAAGTATCGCGTGTCTGGCCAAACGTTTTCTTGTTGAGTTTGCAAAGCCCGTCCCGTCGGCTCCCCGTGCCGCCGTCCTTCGCGCGCCGGCATCTGGCCAACAGCTGAAAGGCATTAGCTTCGCTTCCTCTGCGCTCCTCCGCCCGCGTTTCCAGGCACGTAAGTTGCTTCGAGCTCCGCCGGGTTGTTTGTTGTTTGCCAGAATCGGTGCCGTCTGCGTCTCCGTCACGTTTCCATCGGTCAGGTGCCGCGTGTGACCTGGTGCCGACGTCTGAAAAGAGTACAAAGACATCCCGTCCTGTCGAGAGAAAGTGTCACGTTCTTCTCTGGGCCAGTCGCGTTCTTTCGGCGAGGACGGAAAACAAAAAGGACCTTTGTTGACTTTTTGTTTTTTTCCCCCTCCCCGCTTAGAATGATGTCACAACCTCAGCGCACGCTGTTGATGTTTCGGCGTCCTGTTAGCGGGCTGGGATCTCCGCTTTCCTCTGCTTGCGAGTACTCTTCAGGAAGCTAACCTGACTTTCTTTGTTCATTTCAATGAGCCACCTCAAAGGCGGCGTCATCGTGGGCTCGGCGGGGAGAGGATTGCGCCGAGTCAAAGCGCAGTCGCTTTTTTTCGCCAATCACATTTGGCCTCAAGTCAGATTGCAAATGTTTGACTCACTGGAGTTGAATTGTTGGACCTTTTCTTCTTTTTTTTTGATGTCAGTCGTGTTAGGAGTGTGAAAGTGATTCATTATTTGTCATAGTTTTGCGGTTAACCCCGACGGCACATTTCATGTACGAGTAGATGTCATGGTAGGCCACGAAGCGGCGCCGAATGCCGTCCGCCCAATTCAACGCTGCATTTTCTTCAGCGGATTCAGAAGAATCGGAGTCATTCTCACAATTTTCCAGCGTCGCTCGTGACGGGAGGTCCGTCCCGTCTGTCACCGACGACGCCTGTTTTGCGGACTCGGGTGTCAGATGAAGCCGGCGCTGCAGCGCCAAAACACATCATCAGCCGCCGCACGCAAAGGCGAAAGCTTGTCTGTGATGCGGGTCCGCGCTGACACCCATCCGTCCATTTTCTCATCGGCTTCTCCTCACAGACGCCGCGGGGCGTGCCGAAGCCGAAGTCCCGATCCTATCTGTCTTCGGGCAGTAGGCGGAGGCCACTCTCGCTCGTGGCCTCCCCTGGAAGTGGATTGATTTCTTTTTTTTCCCTCTGACAGCTTATTAGGGTGAAAAATAAATCCGAAAAGAGGATCGACAATTATTTAACCCATAAGAGCCCAGACCCATTTTTCCAAAAGGTTTTGATGGGTTAAAATCAGACAAAAAGTTTTGAAAAAAGATACTGGGGAGTTCAAACTGTTTGTTACACTGGTGTCACCGTGGGCTCTTATGGGTTAAAAAAAAATAAAGAAACATCCATCGGCGATCTGGCGTCCAGCACGTGGAGGGTGCGGGGGACAGCCCGGTCAACGACGTGACTTGACGTGACGTCTGTTCCGAACATGCAGATGGGGGGGTTATTCTGAACACCAAAACGGGAAAAGCAGATGTTGATCAAACTTGACAATACTGCCCCGTCTATACCTCGAGGCCGCAGGTACGCTTGAATATCCGTTCTCGGGATCGGCAATCACTGACATGGATCCGAGATCTTTCAGCCGAGCAAAGTCCATCGGCGCGCCATTTTCTTTGGGCTTTCCCGTCCTCGCCTAATGCCTTCGAGGAGCAAACGGGATCTGTAAACAGCGACAGGGACGGACGGGCAGCCCGCTTTGTCTTCAACCTCGGTTGCGCACGTGAAAAACATCCCGACAGCTCCAATCCTGGATTGATAAGCGAGTCTCGAGACAAACGAGCATCTGACTGGGGAGCCCAAAATGAATTCCCCACTCCCAGAATTGGAATTGGTGGGGGATAAATCCAGATTTTTAGGGTTTGCGAATCATTTATGAGGGCCCGAAGTGAAGTACTTTGACCAAAGGCTGAACGCGAACGGCGTGTTGGCAGAATGTGGCCTGGCGAAGAACCAAGCGAGTCAAGCTGGAACTTTGCTGCGGTCGCGAAACGCAGCGACCGGCCCTCTCGAAAGTTGGCAGAGGAGTGTCAAGTCTGCGAGTGTGTGTGTGTGTGTGTGTGTGTGTGTGTGTGTGTGTGTGTGTGTGTGTGTGTGTCTGCGAACGTGTCGGGGGGGCCCCCCTGAAAGGCTGCGGCCCAGTCACCGGACAGGATGCCATGAAAGCAGACCAAACATTGCGGCTGCCGCTCATGCCAAGCGCAATCACAACCCGCCGCCACGAGAAGCTTCTCGCTTCCCCGTTTGCGCGCCGCCAATGTGAGGAACGGCTCGCCGTTGCTTTTCGCTTTCGCAGGTTGCTTCGAGGTCAAGCGTGAAGTAAATTTGGCCAACCGTCTTTTGAGTACCGTAATACTTTTACGTTTTTTTTTTACACAAGCCACCCCGTCGTTAGACCAGCCAAAGGAAAATGTATTTGTTCGGCAATCTCGTTTTGTCGACCTGTTTTTACATCTGGGGGCCATTTTATGGGAAATGATTTCGACGAACTACTATAATAAAGAGACAGATTTGTGATGTCCCTCAAGGTATGTGGGAGTAAGATTTTCGGTAAGCAGGATATGACCGAGTTGGCCCTTTCTGACTTTTTCCCCAGTAAATTGGACCCGCTAATAGCCGAGACTCCGCCTGATAAATTGGAAATGCCAGTCAATGCTGAACACATTTGCATTTTGTCTTTTTGAAATTGCCAGGGCAAAAGCTCATATGTTTGCAGCAGCGCGCGCTCGGATCGTCGTGACGTGGCCGGCTCGGAATATTTCCCCGCAGTCAAAAGGGATCGACAACATTGATTGTAGGCGACACGCGGCGGCTGACGACCAACCGACCTCGTCCTGGACACTTGGTCCTTGCGGTCGCCGAGATTATGGAGCTGTCGAGATAATTGATGGCAACATCTGAAACGGTTTGATTGAAAGAGACGCCACGTCAGCGGACGTTTGTTGTGGCTGGAAGGAAGTGCCGCAAGGTGGAGGACTTGGGCAGTTGCAGAGTTGGGATCGCATCAAACGAACATCATCATCTACATTTATGACGCAGGAGTTCTGAAGTCCCACTTTTGTATCTTTTTTTTTTTTTAAGTGAGGGTTAGGGTTAGGCCAACCCTTACGCTCATTTGAAGTGAATTTTCGGGGGTTGTGTGCAGGATGTCAAACACATTCATCCTTAGCGGGACAACCGAAAGTCTCAAAGAATGAACCAAGCTTCCTTTTGCACAGTCTCATCAGCATCAACTTTCTATTTTCGGGGGCAGCAAAGTGCTAGTACATGTGCACCCCCACCCCCACCCCCACCACCACTCTGTTTTAAAATGATGTTTAAATATGAGGCGAGCCAGTGGTAAATGTAAAAGGCCCTGAGAGGAAGAGCGGCCTTGCACTCTTGTTCGATGGGAAAGCTGACAAATGAACGTTTGAGCTTGATGTGTTGTTCCCCTTCCGCTCTCCTCTGCTAGGTGGGATATCTGAATCCATCCGGAAAGGAACCGCGGCGCGCACTTTCCACAATGAATCGTGCCTTCAACAGGAAAAAAGGTGAGTTTGAAGCGCACTCGCTCATCTGAACAGGAATGATGCGAGTTGGCCTCCCCCCCCCCACCCCCCCCCCCCCCAAGTAAAGCTCACGTGGTCAACTTTGGAAATTGGTCGCATTACAAAACTTCGTTTAACAATTCATTCTGCTGGGATTTCTCTTGCCTCATGGCGTGACTAACAATTGAGACCAAATCAAAGATGGCAGCCGAAATGATCAAGCAACATAAAAAGTATTTGCGCAAGGGAAACAAAACGGGCACCGAAGAAAAAAAAAAAAGACATCCGGGCTGATTCTGAGTCACGTTCAGACGGCGCGCACTTTGGAGGTGACCCTGCCCAAGGGCACAGCCAAGGAAAATTGGGGGGAAATCCACTTTGGGCAAAACAGCTTGATGCGTTTACCACCATCTGCTCCTCAGCTGGAACTCATCAGGGCAGGAGGATTTTTGGAGAGCGTTGTCGAAATTGCGCAGGGCCCAGGTGGACCACCAGGATATAATGATGTTTTGGGCGGCAGGATTCACACACTCCCCCCCCACCCCACCCAAGTTTCCCCATTCCTCATCGACGTAATGAGTTTGCAAGTTTTCATCAGCACCATTTTGAACCTGCCCATACTTTGTCAGAACTCACCTATGGGCGCTTCCAACAGGGAGGGTCAAACGCTGACCCACTTTGAAAGTCCCGCCCCTCCCTTTCCCCGCTTTGCAATCAGTCGCCAGATTTCACCGCTTACAGTTTTGCGTGCATACTGTCGAGAAAAAAGAAAGAACTCATTTGCGTGTGCGAACGTGTCAGAATGCCGGAGGGACGGTGGCAAACGGGGCTGCCATTTTCTTTCTTTTGCTGCCCACGACTGCCCGGTTAAAGCAAGTCGTTGTGTACGGCAAGCGATGACGCAACATGGTGAACAGTTCGTGGTTATTATCTTGGCTGCCTTTCTAAATGAAGAGGCGTGCGCTTGGACTAAAAGTAACCGTCCCCACAAAAAATGTGAACTTAACCGACCGCCGTGACCGAAGCGGCCTTGACAGTGGCCGCGTGTGTGGCATCACTGAGACTGCAATTAGTTTCCCAGACTGAAAAGACACACCGATTGCACAATATTAGACACGGACAAGGCTGACCTCAACAAAAGGCATCACGAAAGGCAGATGGTCATTCAGGAAGCCGAATGCGAGGGCACAGAGGGAGGTCAGTGAGTCTGGAACAAAAATAAAAATGAAGACTTCGACCCCGGGAACCACACAGAGTAAACAAAAGGATCCGCACGGGAATCCGACCGAAACAGCAAATTGCCGCAAACAGACCACAAACTGGTAATAACGTCGAAGACAAAGCAGATGAGTGGATAGAACCATTTCTCAGCTCGATTGGTTGGCGTGCGAGAGGAGACGGCGCCGTCGATACATGAGTGCGTCCCTGCTGCCCTCTTCTCCTGATTGCTACACAGTACTTGGCCTTTACCCAAGATGGAAGTAAACGAGGAAAAACACATGGAGTCCCACTGTGACCTTCTTTCTTTCTTTTTTTTTTTTTTTTTTAATGCTCCTATTTGGCTGCTTAGTCATGCCTAGGGCAGATCGGTGTGCCTTTTTTTCATGCAGCAACAAGGAGGAAGAGGTATCGAAAGAAAAGGCCTCCGTACCATCGAGTATTCAAAGCGTTGTACCGGTATGGGTCTGGAAAATGGCTCGCCCTGGCGTCCAGCCAGTAACAAGTTTTTTTTGGGGTGGAAAAGGGGTATCGGAGGCCATTCATCTGGATTTTGCCAACTTGGATTGGCGAGGACAATAATAATGCTCAAATTTTCAGATCACCATTGTGCTTTGACGTCAGCTAAACGGTTCCGAATGTCAACTCCGCATGTGTTTTTGTGTTCAGAAAAATCATGGATGCACACGCCCGAGGCGCTGGCCAAGCATTACATAGCCTACAACGCCAAGGTATGTCTCACGCCTACTTGTGTTCCTTTTACACAGCATACAAACATGAAATAAAAAAAAACAAAACAAAACAACAATCATTGGGTTACATTTCACAACTTCAAACTCCGATTCAGACAAAGTTCCGAGCCTGTCTTGAGTGCACTGATCTCCCGTCCCTTCGCATGTCATTTTTCACTGCGACTTCACAAACGTAGCCTCGGATAAAAGTTTTGAGAAAAAAATATTTATTTACACAAAAAATGGCGCAAGACCGACAAAGTACAAGTCATGACATCGGTTACAGTAAATCAGGATAAAACAAATCAGTGACCAAATCACTCGCTCGTGGCTACGAGATGGCAAAATGTCGCTCCCGCTTCAATTGCTGATGATTCAAAAAGGGACCAGAGGACATCATAAAAAACTCGCAATTAAGCAGCGCGAAGGCCATGAAGACATTTTAATGGACCGTTAAATAATTTCCGCCTCATTGGTGCGATGATAGCAGGCGATCCCGAGCTGTTGGGCGTGATGATGTGCAGTGAGGGACGCTTTGTTTGGGGTTTTTTTTTTTTTTTTTTTGCTGCTGGATGAGTCAGTGACGGATGAGCCTCTCATCTGGGTTTTGCCCCCCCCTTGAACCGGCCTCAGTTGCCGACAGCCACCGCTTCTCCTTTTCTATTCTGGGCATTTGTCGTCGCTTCCTCATCCCAATTCCTGCCATTTCTTTTTCTTGATTTGCGCAACCCCGCGTGGGGTTTGCGTGGATAAAAAGTCTTTGCAGGAACATGTTCCCAATGCGCGTTTATGACGTGGCCGGTTTCATTCGACCTTTTAGACCAGGGGTGTCAGACTCAATTTTGTCATGGGCCACATTGGAGTTACCGTTTCCCTTTCGAGGGCCATTATGACTGAAACCAAACAAAAAAGTCAACAATAATAATTTATCATTTGTTACTGCAATGAGGGGTTTGGTTACAAGAAAATGCTTACAATACTGTATGTCTCTTATTTATTACATATGAGAATTTCCGTATGGATTTTAAGCAAGCATCATTCAAGTTGACATGCTTGATTTGCGACCGTGGGCCACATAAAATGACGTGGTGCCCCGGGCCTTGAGTTTGACCCCTGTGTCTTAGCCCATGGCCTCAGGCTAGAATGAGGAATTACTGTCGGAATGAAAACAACACACGTTTGGCAAGGGCATTAAGGCATCTTTTTCTTGCGTGAAATGGGGCATGCAAGACGAGAATACGCATCAAGACTGTGTGGCTCCATGCAGCATGAGTGCAGGATCATGAGTTGGCAAGCCAAGCAGCAAACAAAACGAAGCCTCCTCATGATTCACGCGGATTGCGAAGCACGGACCCGAGCGATCAACGTCTGCTCAAGTCGTGGAGACGTGCGAGTTTCCCACGGCCTTAACGGGGCCGACGCCGGCGTTTATGATGCCTGATATTGGAAGGGAGCGAGCGGTTCGGCTCAGGGGTGCGCTCGAGTGTTTGCTGCCCGCCCCCACCGTATGTGTTTCGTGGCTCCATCTGTTGGAGAATGACTGAGCTGCTGCAGAAGTTTGTCTTTGGTCTCTTTCACGCTTCGGGAAGCGGCCGTAGGCCATCTGCGAGGCGCAAATTCAATTGCGAGATGTTTTCCAAGTGGCGTGTCGAAAATGAGATCCGGTTAAAAGCCGAGCCTCGAGGACAGGACGGATGCGACTGCCGCTCGTGTCTGCACACACATCCACCCTGCCCTTCATTTTCTTCTTCCTCATTTGGGTCACGGGTGAGTTTGAAGGTAACGTTGGGCGACAAGCGCGGGGTCTCGATGGTCTCTCCGTCACTCACCCTCTTTGACAGCCGGACAACAGAGATCCGGATATAAAAGTATAAGGGGAAGCGATGCAGAGATGAGGTCGCAGGCGGACACCTCAGGACAGAAAACTTGCAGTTTGGGTTTGAAATGGATCGTTGGTGACACCGGCTCCGGCCCACCTCGTCCAAAATGCTCATGTAAAATTCAACGGGCTCTTCATCACACGCGGCGATAATTCACAACGCGCGCTCGGTTATCCGGCAAAGTGCCTGGAATGAAAATGATCCGGAAAAAGAAAGCAAAGATGTTTTTCCATTTATGACTTCATAAACGTCTTGTAAACGGGACCGTTTGCGTTTCAGCATAACTGGGGGGGGGGGGGCAAGGGTGGTGGTTAATGTGACGTGTGTTGTCTTCCAGTTTCTTGGTAACACTGAAGTGGAGGCCCCAAAAGGAACGGAGGTTGTCAAGGATGCCGTGAGAAAGCTCAAGGTAAAAGCGCAAACTCCAAACTCTCTCGCCAGAAGAAAAGTATCCGGATGCAGTGAGAGCTAAGATCAAGATTAAAAACTCAGAGCAGCTGGTTGCCGTAATAAATATTAGCCCGTCAGCCTCTGGCAAGGTGCCTTTGCACTTTATAACTCGCAGCCACGGATGATATTTCGCGACTCGCTGAAAGTCATGATTTATCTACCGTCAAACTGTTTTCACATTCTCAACTTGAATCCCAAAGTTATTTTAAAAAGTTACGTTGCACATCGTCGAGGCAACCGGTCCAACGGGTGAAGCTACGGAGGCTACATGCTTGACGGAAAAGCATTTTGTAGCGCTTATCTTACTGCTCGGCATGCTTTCGTCCGGACGGTAGACAAGAATCCACCGGTAGCATGGCCGGAGCTTGCTTGGGACTCAAGATGCCGTTCTCTTCTGCGGTCAGGGAAGAACGGCACTGCCGAGACCAGTCCCAGAGTGCACACTGAAACTCGCCGTCGTTTCAGTCACGCTGTCGTTAGTGTACAACGGGAAGGTCTGAACCAGCTGTTCCGAGGGCCGTGACAACCAATTTGACTGGCTTATTTCCACCGCTGCTTGTTCTAGCCGAGGAGCTAACGCGGGTCATTCACCTCTTTGAAGTTTCAGAGGCACATCAAGAAGTCGGAGGGACAGAAAACCCCAAAGGTCGAGTTGCAGATTTCCATTTACGGTGTGAAAATTCTCGACCCCAAGACAAAAGTAAGTGCTTCAACGTGGACTTTAATCTCGCCGTTGTACTTTGCCTTGTTGTCTTGTTTCGGTGTCACACTTCGCAATGCGAGCCCGAAGACCCGTTTACACCAGTTGAGGTTGAAGGAAATCCTCCTCCTCGAAAGCAGTTCTTCATCAGAAGACCGCGTTGACACTGGCGGGGGCACAGAGAACTCGTTGGACTTGAGTTCCGCTCTGACGCAGCCTTCACCGTACCGCTCGCTAGTCGCCTAATCTGTGAAAGACTTCCAATACTTGGGCCTTTGTTGGCTTTGATTGGAGAAGACGCCCGAGAATAAAGTCGTGTGGCCCTCCTTGCTAACTTGTAACCCCTTGCGATGTGTTTTTCCAGGACGTGCAGCACAACTGTCAGTTACACAGAATATCCTTCTGTGCGGATGACAAAACAGATAAACGGATCTTCACCTTCATTTGCAAGGACTCCGAGTCCAACAAACACCTGTGCTACGTGTTTGACAGTGAAAAGTGTGTAAGTGGCCGAGCTGTTGCCAAGCGGACGTCTTGGCTTCATGCCTGATTGCCCGTCGACATTTAGTTGAATATCACCGTGCGGCATTGCAGGCCGAGGAGATCACGCTCACCATCGGCCAGGCCTTCGACTTGGCCTACAAGAAGTTCCTGGAGTCGGGAGGCAAAGACGTGGAGACCAGGAAGCAGATTGGAAGTCTGCAGAAGAGAGTGCGTCTCCCGTCGCCGTTCTTTCGGCTCCTTTGCCGTTCTCAATGAGCCCCATTGACTTTGACGTGCGAGCCGATGCGCCATCCGAGGGCGAGGCGCGATGCGAGTCGGCTCTTTCGTTAACTCGTTTGGCAGCTCAATCATCATCGGTGGAGAAGTGAAATGCGGTGTGGCGCAGCGCCATTTGCCGCCATTTCAAACTCATGTTTAAAACTCATCGTTTTGAAACGTCTTTTCAGACTTGGTCCAGAATTGGCTGGTACTGAATGAGTTCAAGAGCCGACGTTGTCGTGCTTTCTCAACTATTTTCTGCAGATGATTTGGTTTGTCAAATGTAAGAATCAATAGCATTCGAGTGAGCTGAACCTTCCGCGGTCACGCCCAGATTCTTCGTGTGTTCCGAAAAATTCTTCACCAACCGAATTGTTCGTAAACCGTGTCGCTTGCGAACCCAGGCTCCTTTTGATCTGAAACTGTTTTCCGACCAGATCGTCTGGGGTAGACTTCTCGTTCAAACAATTAACATCCAGGAGAAAATGATCACATTACTTAGTCTATTTCCCCCCCAACCCCGCCGGCCATCACTCGCGGCCCTGCAATTTCCTGCAGCGCCTCCCGCCTGTTGATGTTTGTTGTGCTTTTCATGCAGATTCAAGAGCTGGAAACAGAAAATTCTGAGTTGAAGCAGCAGCTCCAAGATCTGGAACAGCAATTGATGATGGCACACGTGCCCGCAGTAAGGACAAAGCCCCCTGAGAACGTGAAAGCAAAGTCCACGTGACTTGCGTCCGGCGTCCGGCGATGTTTTTGCATCTCTCGACTAATCCAACCTTGCGTCTGCCGTCTTCTCTCTCAGCCATTCTATCTCAACGAAGCTAACGACGCGTACGTGCTGCAGAGGCCTTCTTCTCTCTTCTGGTGTCACGACCTCAACTCTTGTCTGGAGATCTCCTCTGTCACCCTCACGCCTATGAGCTCGCCAGAGTCCAACCTGTCTGCCGGCCTACTAACCCCGCCGCCCGCCAAATGCACTTTCCTTCCTCCTAAAGCGCCCGAGGGATGCGGCGTCCCGCGACCTCGCGTAAAGCCGGCCTTTGATTCTCGTGGTTTCGCCCTCACGCCTTCTCTGCCTTTGATCGCCATCTCGATTGATGGGCTGACACTTGTCTCCGCCACTTCCGACAGACGGGGAGCGTCTCGGTGCAAGCGCAGTCGACAGACGTTTTCGATATGGTCCCCTTCTCCCCGGGGACCGTGCTGGTGCCCACGCAAGCCAGCAACGGCTGCCCCGTGCCTCCAACCGCACTGCCGCCAAACATAGGTGCCCACACGCTTCCTTGTTGTGTTTTTTTTTTTTTTTTCCTTTGTAACGGCATAAACTCTTAAGTTCACGTTGCAGTGGGTGAATGTGTCCGTGTGTCAATTCGCTGTGATGTCTGAAGGGAAAGACCTGTTTGGGGCGGAGCCATTTGATCCCTTCACCTGTGGGTCAGCTGACTTCCCTCCAGATATTCAGTCGAAGCTGGATGAAATGCAGGTGAGCGGCAATATTCACACAAGGTCCTTTGCTTTGTTGAAATGTGAACACCCTTTGATGCCACAAGATTGTGCCAACGCTAAAAGTAATCGGGGTCAAGGGGAAATGCTAATAATCATCATAGTTTGAGACGTATTTGGCGTTTGAACCATTAGCATTGACGTCAGTCACTCAATTAGTCCGCACAGTTTAGTGTCGATCTGTTGAACGGGTGAGCAGAGCTGGATTTTTTTCTTCTCAAATTTAATACAAAGCTCAAGGTCTGGGGTCCACCCAAGATGTTCTGCTTCAAAGCAAAATTGCCAACTTCCTGTTCAATTTCAGACACGCCCCCCATGAGACTGGTCCGCACATCCGAGAAACGCCACTTTCATTTGTATACACGCGCTCGTCAGAATCAGATCCTTTTCATGCGTTGTTTATGTCCCCAATCTGGGATTTATCAGCCAGAAATATAATAATAAGCACAGAAATCTTGAAATGATAAACGCAGCACTCAAGCGGAATTCAGGGAAGCAAAACGAGCGCACGATTCAGGGAACGGCGGCCACATTCAAAGCAGCTGACAGCAATGCGCACTGAGCTAAACCGGGCCGTTTTTCTCACCCTCTTTTGCTGGCTGCTCTTCGGTGATTGACTCTCAGGCTAAGGAACCGACACACCAACCATATTTAGCTCGCGATAGGCCAGAACTCTTGTCCAATCCAAGCAGCACACAAACCAAAACAGCCACCCGCTTCCCGAGCCGAAAATTGCTTTCATGCCGACAATTTCCACGAGGTGGCGACATTTGAACGCTTTTCTTCCCAAGGCAGCCTTTCCTCTGAACTTTCGCTTCCTCATTCTTTTGACTTTTGACCGTTTTTACAACGTTTAAACATTTGTCTTTGTCTTCTTTGCTTGCAGTGTCAAAGATGGTTTGTACTCTTCTCTCTTTGCCTTCGTGTTATCTGCGTTCTCTTTTTTTTTTTTGTACGTGATGCATGACGGCCGCACAATGTGACTGTTGCACTTTCAATGCAGGGCTTCTCAAGCTTTTCGGGTCTCGGGACACCTTACATTGGAGGACTTTTATTTATTTATTTTTTTACGAGCACCCCCTCGAAATACTAACTCCCACCTGTCCCGTTATATGTCATAGGAAGGAAAAAGTTGCCCATTTACAAGACAAAAAGGCGAGACGTTATGATAACATTCAGATTTGGGTGTATATAATTTGTTTTTTTTTTGTCTTTTAAAAAGAAAAAGTTGTACGCTTACGAGAATAAAGTATTCTTCCAATATGAAACCGTAATGTGATATTTGAGTCAAACGATTATTTGTATTATTTTTAATATTATAAAGTCCTTTGTTGGCCTTGTTTTGTTACTATTTGGTGTTTAATATATTAACCCTGAAACGTATGTCTGAGGTTGTGAAATAACTTGACAGGAGGACCAGATTCAGAGAAACAACGAGTCAATCTTTTACGGCAGGGGTCCCCAACCTTTTTTGCCCCACGGACCGGTTTATGTCAGACAATATTTTCAGGGACCGGCATTTAAGGTGTAGCGGAAATAATACAACGAAATAATATGGTATGAGCTGCATGAAAACTGTGGCGTTTTCGAAATATAATAATAATAAACACAAGGAGCGTCTAATCTGGCCGCAACACTCTGATCGCTATGGCAATGTTTAATGCCTTCAAAATACGATACAACGCAAATTCAAAGTGCATTAAAATGACGACTCACCACAGCACCGAGCTTGATTTTCTGCAACCAGACGGTCCCATCTCGGGGCGATAGGAGACAATGACACCTCAAGTGTGTTGTGCTTTATGTCCAGTCTACATCGTAATTTTGTTTTCGTCGCCTGTTGCTGCAGAAACCCCCCGCCTCACACTGGTAGGCTGTTGGAAATAGCAACAGTGCTATTGTGGCGATCTCAGAGTATTCAGCCATAACTTTAATCCAGTTGTCTCGAACGTGCTTTTAAAGCCGCCGTCATTTGCGATCTCCAGCATTTTTTTTCACTCATTTTGCGAGCTTCCGCGTTTTGTTTTGAAGTAATTGGTCACGTGATGGAGAAGCGTGGCTTGACGTGTGTCAAGCGTGACAAAGACGGATGTAACGGAGAATCCGGTAGTTTTTCAAAATAAAACACCGGTACCAAATGCCCGGCGGACCGGTACCGGTCCGTGGACCGGCGGGTGGGGACCACTGTTTTACGGTGTCTCTCCCAGGCAAACCCGGTACATCACGTGACTGTTACATCCGGGTCCCCTACAGTACGGGTGCCCTATTAGCTCAAGACCAAGAGGGGGCAGTGTCGTTGCATTTTTTTTTTTACCCATTCGCATTATTGCCATATTTGAAAAACACGTAACCGAGAGCTTGATTCTTCCTGCATAAAGACAGTATTTACTTTTCCAGTTTCTGCTAGCTGCATCTTTCATTTGTGTTTTACGGTGTCTCTCCCAGGCAAACCCAGTACATCACGTGACTATTACATCCGGGTCCCTGACAGTACGGGTGCTCTATTAGCTCAAGACCAAGAGGGGGCAGTGTTGTTGCATTTTTTTTGACCCATTCGCGTTATTGCCATATTTGAAAAACACGTAACCGAGAGCTTGATTCTTCCTGCATAAAGACAGTATTTACTTTTCCAGTTTCTGCTAGCTGCATCTTTCATTTGAATGCATGATTAAGTCGTACAGATGACTTTTTTTGTCAAGTTATTTCAGTTCCATTTGCATGAGCGCAAACGCTGTTTCCATCCCGTGACACACGTCCATGTGTATTACAGGAGGGCTTCAAAATGGGACTGACCCTAGAGGGCGCTGTCTTCTCTCCGGACCCCCTCGATGGCCGCTGCTGATTGCCCCAGAAGAGGGCGGAGGGTTTGTGGTCATCTTCTTCCTTGAGCCCGTTTATACGATTTTTGTACAAGTGCCAAAATCCACTCCCATGTTCGAGTGGGACTATCACCCTTTTTTTGTTTTGCTCCCCCCATCTAGAAATTTCTACATGCATTTACATTTACATTGTTTTGTTGTGTTCGAAATTTTCTGGTCCGCAGCATTGTGGGAAGAGACATATTTTTCTAAAAACTGGAAATGATAGTTTGGACTACATTTGCTTTTGTACAGTGCATGACAGTTGTGCAGGGCTCATTATGTCACATGGTACACTCACTTTTGAAGTTAGACGTCAGGTGGAGACACTTGTCACGTGACACATGTGACCTTTCATCAAAGTACACATATTGCAAAAACGTAGTATATCTTTTGATTTTCTTCTTCCCAATTTCACACAAATTTGCTCTTGGCTTTATTGCTGTCTAACTGTCTTGCTTGCACCTCGAGGCACTTTTTGGACCGGGGGCACTTACTGTATGTAATGTCACTACGCAGTGAAATGTCCATTATTTTTACTTTTGGGCTCTTTGTTCAGTTGTGTCGCACTTATTAAAAATAAAATGTTCCTGTAAAAAAAAAAATAATAATAATACAACCCCCCCCCCCCCCCCAAATCCTTCCTCTTCTGTTAAATTGTGCCAGCTTTCAAGTTTTTTTGTTTTTGTTTTCTACTAGTATTCCTGAATGCTGACAACTGTCCTGTCATGATGTCGGCCATTTGAGCTGTTTAAAAATCGACAAAAATGATGTTTCTATAGTTTGGATTAGAAATAATTCCGATGACATGGTATAAAAACTAGTGGTGGTCTGTGGAATCCCTCCTGTGGCACTCAAAAGAATCATTGACTTTCATCTTCAAACTGCATAATGCTGAGGTGTCTTCAACTGTTTGTTTGTTTTTTTTGCGGCATAATGCTGAGGTGTCTTCAACTGTTTGTTTTTTTACGTTGTTGGTTGTTTTTCTTTTCAAATCAGTTGAGTAGATTTGTACAGGTCGGTGGCATTTAACACTTCAGGAGAAGAATTTTACATTTGATTATTTACAATTGTTTGTTTTCAAACATTTATCCGGGTACAATTTGTATTTTTATGTGCAATACATTTTGAACCGTTATTTAACACAGTCATTATTTTCCTATAATTAAGTGCATTCCAACTGTGCGTAATGTCACAGTGGCAAAAAAAAAAAAAAAAAGGAGAATAAATATACTTTTTAGGAACAAAAATTATGCCTGGTTTTTGAAGAACACTTGGACCTGCTACGCAACTGTATTTTAATTGTGTCGCCTTTTTGGGTGTTACGAATAGTTTGAGAACTACCGAGCTAGATTATATTGAGAATTACCCATTGATCAAACAACAGGAAGGTTAACTTGTCACATCAACTGAACACAAATTTTGCAAAATATGACTTGCAGACGTCGATGCACTCAAAAATGACATTCTCAAGTCTGCTGGGCTATGTTGGAGGCGATCTCCAAACATATGTTTCGACTCATGACGACGCCACATATTCTCGCCGTCATCACAACGCATTTGTCGCATTGAAACAGGTCTGTTCCAATTCAAACGTGGCAGGTCGTTATGGATAATATCGCAAAGGCTTTGCCATCCCAAACAACAACAGGCAGAGTGAATGAGTTGCACTGTTTATTTCAAAGGATGAAAACTCAAATGCATCCAGTGTGGGGGGGGGGGAGGGAAGGGCGGATGGTTTCGTCCTCCTTTCGCGTTCACTGCCTTTGGGATCGATCGGGCAGTCAAGCCTGACAAACGTTTAAAAAAAAAAAAACTATAATAAATATACTCGGAATGAGCACCAGATGATCACAAAAGAATGACTTAAAGGCACATTCAGCAGCTCGAGTCACAAAAAAGTCAAACTATTGTACTAAATACAAATTGGCATCAACACAGTTTGTCAATTTGTGTGCAATCAAACAAAATGAACATTTCAACAACAAACTTGCTATTCCGAAATTAACATGACAAGAGCTTGGGGGGGGATTAACAAGCGTTTTGTTTAATTTGTTGCATAGCAGGAGATACAAAGCAAACAGGCACTCACAGCCACCTCTGTCTATAAAAAATAAAAATAACAATGATTGCAAGGTAATATATGAACCCAGGATACTGAAAAGGGAGAACTGACATGCATTAAAAAAAAAAAAGAATAATCTGTGCTACCTTTTACTGTTTCAGTATTGCAAAAAGAATGAGGTGTAAACAAACAAAGGAAAACATGACAAAGCACCGCACGCGACTCACATCGACATCATTCTCATCATCTCTCCGATTCTTGATTGCCTGCGCCGTGAGAGTTTGTAGGAGCTGGCGTCATGCTACGTTACAAAACAGCACCAACATGTGAAAGAAAGAACCTGATACACGTCGCCTCATGTATGCACGGATGGATGCCGGTCTCGGTGACGAGGTAGCTCACAAGAAAATGTTTCGGCGGGAGTATTTTAAAGATCTACTTTATAAATGGGGGAGGGGGAAAGAAAATAGACGCGCATGTTAGCATCAGCCTCTGACGCGCGATGAAGGGAGTGGGAAATGTGCATTTGGCAATGCATGAAACTTGCGAGCATAATCGACAAGGCACATGAAGTGCTGCCTCCGTGAGTGAAAGTGCTCTTCTTTCCACGGGCGGTCACTAACCCCCCAACCCTAATACTGGGCTCTGCTTCTGGAAGTAGAAGTCGGTTGCCACGTTCGAACACCCCCCACCCACCCCCAACCCACCCCTGGATAATGAAAGCTTTTCACCACATCGGTTTGGCAGTATTTCACGAGACAGGACCGCCCCCTCAAAACAGGCTAACTTGTGAAACGTTTGTTGGCTGTGATTCTCGATCCTGGAGCTATTTTGAGGAAAAGCAAACCCGGGAACTCCTTTAAGGCGGCTCCGCTGCATATCTTATATCTATGTTGTGATAAACAAGGTAAACATTTCAAATTGGTAAATCTTTATTTAGACATTGACGTTTTAGTGGAGGAAAAACGTTGGACCTCAGTGAGGCCAAAAGTCAAGACAGACATCGTGAAACAAACAAAACAAACCAAAACAAACAAACAAAAAAAAAATGGAATGAGTCGTGTTTTGAATGAAGTCCAATTTCAAACATTTGACGTGTCACTTTGAAATGTTTGGCTGGGGTGTGAGTTGAAAGGCACAATAAATATTTCGCCACAGGGCCAGAAAAGTCCTCAGTACTGCTCTGTACAAGGAGGCTGCTCGCGGTCAGCTGTCAGTTCAATAGTCTCGGGATGTGCATCTGCCCGCTGACCTTTGGGTTTCTTTCTTTCTTTGTTTTATAAGAAGCACACGGGCCCGATATCGATACCAAACTCTTGATTGGGGCCGCCAATGTCCACGGGGGCGAGATCCACAATGGGAAGTCGCGCAGTTTTCTGTGTCCTGTACTCAAACACTGTCTTGCCCCAGTTGCCGTTTGCTTGCTGTAAAGAGACAAGGAAAGGGTCACAAAGGCTGCACGTGCTTTTTTTTAAAGTAACATGAATGCAACACACGCAAAAATGATCGCCATCATTTGGAGCTCCTAGAAAATACTCTTTTGAAACACAGTCGTACACTTTCCCACAAAATGAAATGATCAATTAAATAATCTATTTTGAAAAAAAGTTTTGCATCCAGCCGGTTGATTTCAGTTCAAAAAGCAAATGTTTGGTTGTTTTCATCACTGTGACTTCAAATCAAGCTTGCCTTTCAGAAACTACAAATCGGTTAGTCATGAAAAAAAATGCCTATTTCCATTTGCTGCAAATTTACCAAACAGTTTTTTGTTGTTGTTGTTTTTTTTTTTGGTGCTCTTTCTGTAATGGCCGAAAAAGCCACAAGATGGCACCAAAGCTCTAATGTAACATCCAATTGAATATAACTGTTTAAAAAAATTGACAGTAGAGGAAAAAAATGCGACCATATTGGCAGCCATTTTTTAATCTCGTTAACCTCCAAAATGGGTTCATACTGAACGGGAGCACGACAGGATTTTTTTTTCTTCTTTGGGAGTGTCACCCTTTAATTTTGACCAACCTCTTAGTATTTATTTCGAGTCTTGCATGTACTGCACCATCACACTTCCCGTGAAATGTTTTCAAAACTGAAATTCTCAGGAGCCCATTTATTTTTTTAAGGGTGATTTTCCTAGAAATGTTTGAGGAGATATTCAAGTGTCATTTTGAACGAACATTTTTAGGGGTTGTCAATTACTCGCAGTTATTGACTTTGGCAATCGGGTGCTTGCCCTCACATTTACTCGAATTACACTCTCGGTTAAAATTCGACTTGAATTGTGATTCATAGGACTTGGCAGTATGAGGACACTTTTATTTATTAAAATTTTTTCCCCCTCCCGAATAAAATTTCGATGCGATGAGGAAAACTTACAGCGCAGGAGTCTTCCACCACGGTGTATCTGAAGCGGTTGTTTCCCTCGGCCTTGAGCTCCAGGTCGTTGGAGGCTTTGAGGATGACGGCCTTCTTCAGGTTGCCCGCCTTCTGGTCTTTGTAACCCACCGAGTTCTTGCAGTGGTAGGTGACGGTCTGAGACGCTTCTTTGGACAGCAGGCGAATGAAGGTCATCTGCACTCTCAGCGCGTTTGCCGCCTGGTCTTTGTTGCCGTAGGTGAACTGCAAACATTCGCCACAGCAGAAGGAATCGATGAGGGACTACAGCACTGAAAACGGCCTCCCCCTGAAAACGGGCTCATGTCCGCAACACAAAACCCTTGGGATACTTTGACGAAGGCAATCAAAAAAAAAAATGGCAAGATACGCCTCCTTTCAAACGTAAGCACTCACTTGCGTTCCTCTGTTGATGTCAGCTCCAAACCACACAGGTTTGTTCTTGGAAGAGCTCCACCAGTTTTTGCGAGGTAGGCTGGCCGGGTTGGCGGAGATGCACGTCTCCCCGGTGTCCAGGTTGCAGTACACTTTGATGGCATCCTCGGCACTGCCTTGGTTGGGGTCCACCCAGAATTCTCCTGCATCACAGAGAGACACCAACGGTAACATGCAGGAAGTGGCATTTCAGGAAAGTTTCACTTCAGTGCAGCTTCTGTCAAACCACAAACACAATTTGAAGTCTGCAGAAAAATACTTGAGGGACGTAAAACTTTAAAAAGAATCTCTTGATTTTGTTTTGGCTTTTTTTGACTTTGCCGGTTTACCAGAACATCATCTCAAATCATCTTTTCCCATTGAAATGAATGGAAAGGGCATTAATCCGTTCCAGCCTTCAGCCCCACAAAAAACACAAAACAGTTTGTCGGGAGTCCACCCTTGGCTAACTCACCGCTCTTTTTGGCGGGGTAGCATCTCTTGAGGTCATCGCAGGTCCTGGCGGGGTGCTTGCGGCTGCCGTCGGGGCTCTTCATGCTCTCAATCTGGCTGCTGAGGGCTTTCAGGGTGGCCTGCACGCCAGGGTCCACCGGTGGGAGGGTGGATGAGTTGGTGTTGGGTAGAGCCTCGTCCTCACTGAACTCTGGCGGAGGAGGGGGGGCATCTTCGTAATCGTGAGGGCCTCCAAACAGATCGTCCATAGCTGCCACGGGAGGTCCCGGTGGTCCAGGGAGGCCTGGGGGTCCAGGTTCTCCTGGTGGGCCCTGCGTATCATGAAAGTATCATGTTATTTCTATTTTTTCTTTTTTTCTTTTTGAATCAGTAAAAGATGCACAAAAAAAAAAATCTAACATCTGTAGAAAAGATGTTCAGTGATTGAAAGTGTCTTGAGGTTTTGTTTTCATGAGTTGCTCCCAGCACCAAATGTTACCTGAGCAACCTCTCTTTCTTGACTTTCTAATGAGACAATACCTCTGGTCCAATTTCTCCTGAGATTCCACGTGTTCCGGGGGGTCCCATAGGCCCGGGCTGTCCAATGTATCCTTCTTTGCCAGGGGGCCCGATAGGGCCAGGTGGCCCCTGAAATATTATTCAAGAGCAAACTGTTATTATTATTAATTTTTTGTACTAATATATTAAGCAAAGAAGAAGACAAGAGCACAGCACTTGCAAATAATATAAGAAATTTGAGAAAGTGTGGCATTTACCCGTGCACCATTTGGTCCAATGATTCCGGAAGCCCCCTGTTCACCTGTTGTACCCTAAAAAGAGAAAGCACAATGTTTTTGTTGCCTTGCTTTGAACATTTTTTTTTCTAGATACACATCTCAAATGGACACGATCCAAATGACTGTGCGTGTAATCGGTAGATACATTTTGCTTCTTGCGATTGTCTTCAAACACTTGGCATAACTACGTTTATCGACAGATTGAGTGTGATGACTGCGGTGGGCTCTTACTTACAGGAGGTCCAGGAAGACCCTGCAAACCAGTAAATCCACGATGACCCTTCTGCCCTCTCTCTCCATGATCACCCAAATCACCCTTGTCTCCCCGTGGTCCTTGGGGTCCCTGCGATACAAGGGCAACAAGTTATGGCTGCTTGAAATCCGCAACGCTACGGATCCTCAGAGGTGTCGTCCAACGTCCATCCACGGTCAGAGAAGAACTCACCACTAGTCCTCTCTTTCCAGCTGATCCGGGAGGACCAACCGGTCCTCTGGAGCCCTGAAAAACAAAGAAAAAGGACTCAGGGACCAAACGTGTCTGCCAACGCCTCCACTCTTCCATTTTTAGTTGCTGAGCCCTTTCAGCGTGCGGCGTTAAGCTCCTTCAGGCTCCAACATGTCCACAGAAAGTCATTATTTCATTGAAAAGGTTGTCAGGCTCATAACATGACACAAATTTCGATCGTGCTGAAGAAGAAAAATGATTACCCTCGGGCAAGGCAAACAAGATACATGAAAGGCCAGCTTACAGCATGTCCTCTTTTCCCAGCTTCTCCGGCGACACCAACGGGACCAGGAGGCCCAGGAAGTCCCTGAGGACCAGCCAAACCCTCTGGACCGTGATCCCCTCTATCTCCCTGGAATGGTATCGACAATTGGTTTCTGTGCCACATTTATAGCCTTTTAGAAACTCTGTCCTTACCCGTTGTCCAAGAACACCTTCTTTTCCTGGCGGACCGTCAGAGCCAGCAGGGCCCTGAGGAACAAAGAAACGCATTCACGCACTAGAAAGACGCTCGGCGTGAAATGCAATGGCAAGCACAGACGCAGATTTAAAAAGGACTAACATCAGGACCGGGATCGCCACGTGGTCCATTGGCACCTGGAACGCCAACTGGTCCTGGGGGCCCTTTGTCTCCAGTTGATCCAGGAGATCCCTGTTTTCCTGGTGGTCCCTAAAAGCAAAAAGGGCTCTTACAAAAAATATGGAATGCAGTGGGCAATTTCGATGTGTAAGGTCAATGCATGGAAGAGTCGCAGCTAAAAAGTAGACTGACCGCTGGCCCAGGGAGACCTGGCATTCCTCGTTCACCTCGCACACCTGGAAGCCCCACAATACCTCTCTGGCCTGTAGTTCCCGCTGGGCCCGGAGGACCATCAGGGCCCTAAACCAAAGTTGACAAATCCGATATTTAATACTAGGAACTCCAACCTTCGCTCAAATCCTGGATGGCATAAAGATTTAAAAGAAAACATGTGAAGCTAATCTGTCCATCTTGGTGGAAATCACTCAAGAGCATTTTCTCAACAACAGAGTCACTACAACCGTTGGGCCGTCTTCTCCAGAATCGCCCTTGTCTCCCGGGCTTCCAGGAGGTCCTGGTGGCCCTCGCTCTCCCTGTCTTCCATTTGCTCCATGGTCACCACGAAGACCGGGAGGACCCTCCTTTCCAGGGGCCCCTAGTGGTCCAGGTTCACCAATTGGACCCTGAGCGAAATAATTGCAGTCATGAAGGGGAACATGTTGAAGATTGCATCATCAGAGTGTCTCTCCCGCTCTCTGTCTCTCTCTCTCTGTCATTGTACATATCATAGTGCTTTACACACAATTTAAATGGAGTTTTGTACAATTTAACCATGATCTTTGTGCCCTTACTTGGAACTAGTATCAAGAAAATCATATGCACTATACAATAAAAAGTTCAATACACCCCCACTAGTCTAACGCTGGCCTTCTGATGAGTATCGTGTTTGAGGAATATGAGTCAAGCAGCAAAATATTCCCTTTTTTGTCCATGTTAGGAGACGGCCATTTTGCCAGCTGCTGTCGACTGAATATGACATCACAGTTGCTCGGTGTTCTCTCGGGACAATGAGCTACCGTGATGTCATTTTCAGGTGACAGGGAGTGGCAAAATGGCTGCCCCCTCAGATGGCTAAAGATGGGCTTAACTCATATTCCGCAAAGGCACTGCATGACTCAGAATGGTGTGTTTAAACTAGTGGGGCTGCATAGAACATTTTGCAGATAACCACTCATTTTTGACACCTAATTCTTATTCCACATTGATCTAGGGTGTCTGAAATATGGAAGATTGATGACAATACTTACAGTTGGACCTGGTGGGCCAACTCTTCCTGCAGATCCAGGGAAACCGGTGGGCCCCTGGCAACAAAACGTGACATCAAATCATGCTTCCACAGGGTAATTGTTTTTAACTTGGTTTTAAATGTGTTCAATAATATCTATCCATCCATTTGCTAAGACCCTTTATCTTGATGAGGGTCGCGGGACGTTCTGGAGTCTATCCCAGCCGTCTTCGGGCAGTCGGCGGGGTACACCTTCAACCGGTTGCCGGCCAATCGCAGGGCACACGTTGACCAACAACCATCCGCACTCACACTCACACCGAGGGACAATTTTGAGTATTCCAGTAACCTGCCACACATGTTTTTGGAATGCGGGAGGAAACCGGAGTACCCGGAGAAAACCCACGCAGGCGCGGGGACAACATGCAAACTACACACAGGAAAGCCGGAGCCGGAATTGAACCCTGCACCTCTGCACTGTGAGGCCGACGTGCTAACCAGTCAACCACTGTGCCGCGTGTTAAATAGTAAATTGCTCATTGATTGCTTGATGTTCTCTCAACAGTCACATGATCAAAGCATTTCTGTAACTATGAAATTCCCATACCGGTGCACCCTGTGTCCCTCTTCCGCCTTTTAGTCCAGCAACACCAATAGGCCCCTATAAGGAGAAACAAAATGAGCTCTCTCCTCTCTAGAAATGCTTTAATTAACATTAAGAAAGGCTGTTGCAAGACATTTTTCCTGTAACTGATTCCTTATTACAACGTACAGGAGGACCGTGAGCTCCAGCTAAGCCTTGAGGTCCAGGGGATCCGGCATCTCCTTTCTGGCCAGGTTCCCCGGTCTCTCCTTTGACTCCAGGTTGGCCATCAGGACCCTGTGATGGAATAGTAGAAAATGTGTCACAAATAATTGAAAACACTGCAAAGCATTCATAGATCACTCAAAGTGTTCTGTCCCTGCGTTATTGGTGCAACGAATGAGGACTTACAGGCGGTCCAGCAAAACCAACGGAACCAATGGGGCCAGGGTCACCTCTTGCTCCCTGCAGAGGATATTCAAATAGTCGGTCACGATTGTCTGCAATAACGAGGACTATCCGGTATATTGCAATTCAAACATTGGCCAGGTATACTCACATGCACTCCTCTCGAGCCCGGAGGTCCAGCGGGTCCTTTCGGTCCAGGTTCTCCCTGAAATGTGTCACGCACTTCCTCTTGATTACCCTTGATATGTTTAAAAAGCAGTCTTTGGTTGTAAAATGCCCTACCTTTTCACCACTGGGCCCCGCGGGTCCTAACGGGCCAACAGGTCCAGGTGCACCCTGGAAACACGGGAAGCACACAGTTTAACTCTTTGGTGGTGAAACTCTGGCATGGCTTGTGCTTGCATGGTTTCTTCTGGGATGAGCTTGCAATGGTTCCATTTATGGGAGCAGCAAAATGAACTCTGAAGTCAACAAAATTATGCCGTCTGCCAATTTAAACTACGATGGAACCAAATTGATTGGTAGCTCCTTGATCGTGTCGCAATTTGACTTGTCAAGCAATAAAGGAGTTCATCGGTGTTACGTGGGCCGAGAGGCCAGCTGCTCACCCTTGCGCCGTCATTTCCAGGTGTACCTTCTGATCCTTTCTCGCCAATGGCTCCCTGCATAAAAGACACCGCAAAGTTGGGACTGACCATGTTGCGTTGTACACTCACAAGACGATTGATTTGAACTTCAGACTTCAACACTTATAAAATTGCTTCTTCCAATTCCACGAGAGGAATCGAAACTGGAGAAGGACCCCCCCCCCCAAAAAAAAAAAACTTACCCTGTCACCTTTTGGTCCAGATGGACCAGAGATGCCCCTTTCTCCTGGCATCCCCTGAAGACCTGGAGGACCCACATCACCAAGGGCACCGGGAGGACCAGGACTACCCTTCAGGGACAAGCAGAGATTGTTACTTATTTGTGTGTTTGAGTTCAAGGAAGGGCAAGGGCTCTTCCCATATCCGATCCCGATGACTCTTGTTCAAATGTAGGTTTTAAACCTGTTCCTACAACCCCCCCCCCCCCACCCTTGCTAAAATGAGGATGGCATCCCGATTACTGATACATGTGAAAACGATTTTATCGGTCACTCAGAACTCCACTATATTGAAGAATCCCCTTTTCAGCAACTTGTCATTGCATATTGAGAGTACTGAAGTGCGTTACCTTCGGCCCATCTGGCCCAGGAGCTCCGGGGATTCCCTTGGGTCCCTGCAGACCAATTGGACCCAGTTCGCCTCTCTCTCCTGGAATTCCACGTTCACCCTGCGGAAGAAACCCCGCAAGCTCTAATATTCATAGTCTACCACAGATCGATGTCATTCGTAAAAGTGTACTCCACCTACCCGAGGTCCAATTTGACCAACGGCACCGAGCTCTCCAGGAATTCCCTGAAAGAAAAAGACCACATGCTCACTCAACAAACCCGTTTATCACTCAAGCTGAAAGCATTTTATTTTCAGAACCACTAATAAGATAAGGAATGGGGGTGCATCAATTTCTAACTTAAATTATACTCACGAGGTCACCAGGTTTCCCGGATTCTCCAGGAGGACCTTGATTTCCTGGTAAACCCTGATAAAACAATAGATGCATCAAAATTGAAGATCCCAATATCTATTCTGAATAATAACATATCTTTGGACATGCAGCGCCGTCATAAGCCCGTGTGATGTCTCCCGCAGATAAATCTGGTATTTGGACCAGTATAATGACACACCTGGAATCCATTTACACCTGGAGGTCCCTGTTCTCCTCTGTCACCAGCAACACCCTGTTGATTGAGTTAGCCCTTTAGTCAGTTATGATGCCGGTGGAGAAATCAAATATTTGTTCATATTAAAGGTGATGGCTCTTACGGATGGGCCAGGTGGGCCAGCAGGGCCAACCTCTCCATCTTTTCCAGGAGGACCCTAGCGTACAAAAAGACAGATCATATCACTCCTACAAAAATCTAAATTGATGACTGAAGTTCTGGTTTCGAATCGGGCAAAAAAGCAAAATGCGACCCCATCATTCCGGGTCACTCACCCTTTGACCAGGTACTCCTGCAGAGCCTTGTTCCCCTGTCTTTCCCGGATCACCCTTTTCAAGGCAAGACGCATTTGGAATTAGAGACAAACGTGTGGGTGTCGAGCGGGTAGTTGCAAAATGGAACTTACGTTAAATCCCTTGGGGCCAGGTATTCCCATTGTTCCTGCGGGACCCCTGTTGCCGATGGAGCCTGCGGGGCCTGGGCGACCATCTTCACCGGGCGCACCCTGAACGACACGCAAAGCCAGACCTTGACTTTGGCCGATTCATGTATTTTATGTCAAAATAGATAAAGGACATTCACATACCAGTGGCCCTGGCTTTCCCTCTGCCCCCTGTACTCCAGGAGTACCAGTGAGCCCCTTTGGAGAGCAGATTCAAAGGTTAGCGAAAGACGCATTTGAGATAGCAGTGCATGAGCTCATGGAAATTAAAAAGAAAGTTGAATGCCAAATGTGTCAGTGTTACCCTTGCACCTGGTAGACCAGGTTCTCCTGTACGTCCAGGGTCACCCAGTGAACCTTTTGGTCCTGATGGCCCTGATATTCCACGGTCTCCTTGAGAACCCTTCAGGGATGAACACAGTTTGGATGGTATATTATACTTGGAAAATACACCACAGACTCTTATCCAAGTGTATGAGTAAAGCATCTTGTAGCGAAGCCATACGATAAAAGAAAAACCAACTCTACCTTTGGTCCGGGCAGACCATCAGCACCGGGGAATCCTCGATTTCCTGGGGCTCCCTGTAAACACAGCCAAAATCACATGACTTTTGCTCCTCAAGCGGTTTCCAGGTTTCAGATGTTACCCTCCTCGAATACAAGACCTGAGTCAAATGATCAGTGTTGGGGGAGGGAAACATCTAAAACAAGCAGGAAGCCGGCCCTCAAGGGCCAATGCTTTCTTAGGTCATGAACGATGTGGTGGGATATTTACTTGGGAATAACAATACAGGTCCCTAATATACAGACTTTGAAATGTCAAAAGTTTCGGCTTGAGGTGGAACGGTGACTCACTCTCTCACCAACGGCACCAGGGGGGCCAACGGTTCCGGGGTCTCCTCGTGGTCCCCGCTTTCCTTCCTCACCCTGAGGTCCAATCACTCCCTGGGATCCTGGGGGACCCTAGAAATGTGACACATGGGAGAAAATGAATGACAGAAACTTACTTCTCAAACAATGTACTTGTCAAAACAATGCAAATAATGTTTTCATCTTACAACTTCTCCTTTGGGTCCAGCTTCACCCTTAAATCCTGGTACGCCAACATCTCCCTTTCACATAAAAAAAAAAAAAAAAATCAATGTGAATCAACTGTGACTGGCAACAATAGCGAAACTGCAAAATCCAAAGTGATGGAGCCAAGGTACCAATTGTCCTTTGATGCCAGGCTGGCCGGTGCTTCCCTGAGGGCCTGGAGGACCGGCGGGTCCAAGATGCCCACCCGGGCCTTGTGGGCCAAGGTTTCCCTGTCGTCATTCAGCCTCGTAAGCCAAGTGTATTCCCACTTTTTATTTCAACTGTGTTACTTTACATACCACTGGTCCTTTGGCTCCTACGCCACCATCTGTACCCGTGGGTCCCTTTGGATGCAGAAAATGATGACGTGACAGTATTGTACATGCATTGACAGTATATCTTTATCGTTGACTAAATAACAGGACATTAGCAATTTTTTACGGTGATGTGAATCGGCTGTGTGACATGACAGAAAATATTACCCTCAGGCCAACTGGTCCAGGTCTTCCGAGATGACCGGTCTCGCCTCTTTGCCCCTGAGGCCCCTCCGGACCCCGAACACCTGTGGGGCCTTGTTGTCCCTATGATACCCGAGCACAGATGAAATACAGGGGGATATCACAATGTGTAGAGTTATTTGTTGTTGTTGGGGGTGTTTTTTTAAAACCAAAAATCGAATCTCCTCAAGCATGTTGTTTGAGAGACACTCGAACCATACTCACCTTCATGCCTGGCGTTCCCGGATATCCAGGAGGGCCACTGAGACCCAAGGGACCCTGGAAACCAACAAAAATCGCAAACAAGGTGATTTGATCTCCCTAAGTGTGATCTATCAGGCACAGTGATCAATCATTCCGATAAAAATGAAAAACCCCACTGTGAAAGCTTGTCTGTTATCAGCTTCCTCAGTGTATTCGTTTTAGCAGTTTGTAAATTCAAACGAGTGAATAGTGACTTACAATTGGACCTGTTTTTCCAATGTTACCAGGTACACCACGTTTACCCTAAGAGCAAAGAACAACAGGACAAACAAAACCTCTTAGAATCGTCAAATACTTTTGGCCTCATAGTCAGTAAGGCCTGGCGCTCTGGTGTTTTCATGACAGTAAAACTTTTCCCAGGAATGATTTGTTGCATACCGCTGTACCACCAGGCCCAGAGCGGCCCCTCTCCCCGGGCATCCCAGCAGGGCCCTGTAAACACACAGCGTGTTTGGTGATAACGTCCTCCAAATCCTACGCACACTTTCAAAATGGGCGGGAAAATTAATTGCGCAAAATGTGAGCAGGAATCATCACCAATTCATAAGTTCAGTGCGCTTGATTATTCATTTGAACAGAAATGCACTTTTTATCGGAACTAGAAATATCAATTGCCTGAGGTTCTCAGAGAATCGAATAGAGCGCAACTGGACCGTTGCGCTTGTCTCCGGAGACCAGACAGCCAGAGCTGTCCAACCGTGATCGATTCAATGGCAGATTCAACGCAAGAACACAGTGACCTGGACGAATGAGAATATTCACAGGCCATCCGCTAAAAGGTATTCCACTCCAGAAATTCCACATTTGAGGACGGTATTGCTAGTTTCCGTAGTAATGTTCGGCATGAGCAAATTATTGGTCTACCGGAGGTGACTTTGCCACAAATTCCAACGTTGAGGAAGATGACAAACGCATGTATCATCAGTCAATAGAAGAATGAGTGTCATGAGTATATCGAATCATTTCGAGAAAATACTAACCATTGGTCCAGGTCCTCCCATTTGACCTGGTGGGCCTGTGGCGCCCTGGGGAAGGAAGCATTGGAAAAATATCTCTCATGCTGTTGTGGCAGTGGAACTGAACATGACATTTTAGGTTTTGCTTTTAAAACCTAGACCACCACCAGCCTCATCTTACCTTAGACCCAACGGCTCCATGTTCTCCTTTTTGTCCCAGAGGTCCTCCGTGTCCCTAATAAAAAATGGTGATACGTTGTCTTACTTGAGAAACATGCAGAAGCACAACATATATTGCAAAATTTTAACTTTGCGTTGAATTAAGTGCTCACCCTGTGACCTTTTAGCCCAGGAGGCCCCGGCGTACCCGGAAACCCTCTTCCTCCCTTAAATGCAAATCCGTTGCAGTTAGAAAGGATCGTCAAACAAGACCACGCCACCGGACAAATGATCTTACTTGGGAACCTGGGAATCCAACTTCTCCAGCATTTCCTGCCTTGCCCGCTTCACCCTATGTGACGACATCACAGTTCAACAATTACCGGCGTCGCTGCTGCACTTTGCAGTGAGATACAGCCACAGCCCAGGCTTCACGTACGTCTTCTCCTGGTTTCCCCGGGGGACCCTCGGGTCCTCTTTGCCCAGCCGGCCCCTGAAAATGCACAATGTCGTCATTAACATCTGGACGACTGCATAGCTGGTCATGCAAAATGCAGACGGCGTTGTACCATATGCCCTGGATCGCCCACGTCTCCGGGAGGTCCTTGTGCTCCAGACTGACCCTTTCAGAAGCAAGACAAACAAAGTTTCACAAAAGCCGCAAGCAACCAATGAACAGGCCCTCGCGTCTCAATTTTCACGGGAAATCCTGGAAGATGCTCATCATCTGTAAAATGACTTTGTCACAGGTTGGCATCGCCTTGGTGTCTACGAGACCGCATGAGGCTCCATATTGTGGTTCATCGCCGAAAATGTGAAACCCGGAATTTGAAATTTGAGACCAAAGTGGCCGAACTCCTGTTTATCTGGTTTTCCGAAAGTGGGTCCTTGAGATTTTTTTCCATGCGCCCAGTTACGACAAACTGGTTCACCACCAACCTGGTGTCAGTTGGTGAAACAAGCGTCGGTGGCTCTTATCTTAAATGTGGGTCATTGAGATTTTTTCCATGTGCCCAGTTATGACAAACAGGTTCACCACCAACTTGGGTTCAGTTGGTGAAACAAGCGTCGGTGGCTCTTATCTTTTAACCTTGAAAACTTCCAGGGGGTGCCCATGAGTTTCAGGTGTGTTGTGTTTGAGACTCCCAGAAGAGCTACAGTACGTCACCAGGACACATTTGAAACAGGCATGTGGAGGCCCTGAAAGCCATTCATTGGACTTACAGGGGAACCGGTCGGCCCAGGAGGTCCTCTTGCTCCAGATTCACCCTAGAACCAAGAATACACCAATCTGAACTTCATGGAGGAGGGTGTGAAAGCAGTCGTTCAGTTTCAGGGTAACTGCTCGACAGTTTCAAAACAAGCCGAAATTGTTTGCTGACACCTTACCCTGGTGCCGCTTAACATGCTTTGAGGTGCATTTTTTCCTTCCAACACTCCGGCCATCTGCGCCCCAAGACCCTGCGATTGAAGCGGGTATCGTGTTTGAGGTTGCCAAGAATAAGGGGGACACAAATACAGATTCTTGGAAGTGTTCTCATTGGCGTAGGTGGGTGGCGGTTATCACTTACTCCGGGATGGGTTGGGTGTCCCGGGGGTCCGGGTTCACCGGGTTGACCCGGAACTCCCGGCTCTCCGTCATAACCCGGAGAGCCTCGCTGTCCCTGGAAGCGAAAGAAAGACTGTGATTACACACGCAACGTGGCCCGGTGTTTTCAGAACAAAGGGGTCAAAGGCGATGGAAAATCAACTTGGCCAATAACGATGAATGTGGTTCTGAAAAGGGATGGCGGAGTTTCCCGTGTTTTTTAAATGAGGCAGTTGGGGTCAAAGCCTTAACGGCTAAGTGGTGTCGACCATACGTAAATAGATGGGTAGCTGACGAGTCAGTGTTTTACACAACTGATCTCTCTGATGCGTTGGCCTTTGATTAACTGTCAACCGTTCCAGGAGACGAGGGATCGAATGTAGTGGGTGCAACTTACGGGCCTTCCTTTGTTTCCTCTGGGTCCTCTTCCTCCCGGGGAACCAGGAGGCCCCTATGAAAACCAAAGACATCAACATGAACGAGCCGATGATGACCACTGAGCAAAAGAAAGGAGTTGCATGACGCAGTGTGTGCAGAACGCAATGCCAATCTGTCGCCAGGTCATCAAGATGCTCACCGTCGGTCCGGGACGGCCTCGGATGCCAGTCACCTGCACATACAGCCAGTTAGATTGTGCTTTTCTTTTTTTTTCTCTTTCAGGAGTTCTGATGAAACTGAGCATACTCACAATCGGGACTTCGCCAGGCTCTCCCTTCGGGCCCTGCAGTCGCAGACAGATGGATGAGACAAATCAATCAAACCAAATTTGTGCTATGCTTGTATCGATGCGGTCGCCTACCTTGTAAATTCTGGCCCCACCTAGCAAAAAAAAAAAAAAATTATTAGTTTTCCATGAATGCATTGTTCGTGTGGATGTGGTGAAGTAAATCAGTGGGGCATAGCGACCCATTAGTTCATGAATTGAAACTGACCCAGAAACGACCAAATAAAACAAAAATAAGAATCACTTGAAATGGAGTGCAGAGCTGTTTGAACAAGAAAGAAGCAGCTTATGGTTCTTCAAAAGTCATTATGTTTCCGGGTCAAGTTGACCAACTTAAAAATTTAGATTTTTTTTTTTTTTTTAATGAGTCTGACCGCTGTAACTACAATCCATTCATTTGTCAACCATCATCCACCGGCGATCATATAATGTACTTTGTATTTGCACATGCTGTCAAGACTCTCTGTCAAGTCGCCTGACAACCCAAGCTGAACTTCTCTCTTCTCCAACATACAAAGTTTGTCTTTCAATTGACCACTTCTTCATACTTCCTTGACACCGATAGCAGCTTTCCAATTAGACAGGGCTTTGGCGCTTTCTTCTGGCTTCTTTGGGCATTGCCGAAAGAAAGGCAGAATAATTGCGCAATTTGTTTGAAGGGATTAATTGAAGGTTCTTTAATGCTCACCATAAGAGCCGCCGCCCCCACCGCCGCCGCCGCCGCCGCCCCCACCGCCGCCGGTTGAGGTTTCGGTCTGACAAATGGGGCAGCACTCTCCTTCGGGGACGACCACCTTCTCACAGTTGGTCAGCTCTTCGCACTGGATGTTGTCGCAGAGGACCTGGCCGTTGTCGCACACGCAGAGTCGGCACGGCGACGGCTTCCAGATGTCCCTGTTAGGGTACACTTGGCCGTCTGCCTTGCAGCTGCCATCGCCTCCTAAAAAGTGGATGAAAGTCATCGTTTATCAGCCGGCACGAAAGGGGAGGAGTACTTTGGTCTCTGGGGTGCATTCCTTCCATTCCACACGTGAAATTAATTCACCACAGAGTATTTGCCTGTTGTGCCAACTCGCATCTAATTTGGACTTCACAATTGAGTACTTGAGATCAAACCACAGCCACTTCAAGAGTTTCCGCCCATGATTTCATCATCATGTCAATATCAAACGGTGCGTGTAATGGGCCCATACGCAAAAGTTTTTGGAAATTGTCAGCGGTGGGTTCGGGGGTGTTCGCATTCGGTGACACGTCTGCTACTTGCACCACATGCACGAATGATCTACACTAATTGAAGGTGGCTTGGTGACGAAGTGCTGCCTCCACGAATGAAAAATGACTTCTATTTCTGCTCTTCTTCTGTTCGCCTTTCTCTTCAGCCGTTGGACAAGTAGGGGTCGCTCGCGAGGTTTAGCAAAGGTTCATTTTGCCCTCGATGGAACCCCGCCCACCACTGTCAAAAATAAAAAACAAACAAAAAAAAAAACACAAAACAGTCATTTCAAGTTGAGGGTCACAAGTTGAAGTTCGGTGTGCTATAACTGGCGCGCTGAGTGTTTGCTACTCAAGTACAGAAAGTCAAGACTGATGCAACATGGCTAATAAATGTTTTACAATTGGAAAATGATCACAGCTGACAAAATGATACAGATGAGGATTTGTTCTAGTTTTCTATTCTGACTCATTTCAGGTTGGTATCGGATGAAGAGCAAAAAGTTAAAAAAAAACAAACAAATGGTGTACAGATTTGACCACTTATGCTCAGCTCAGATAAACCAGACTGAACCCGGCTGCGGTCCGCAACGCCACAAACATGACAGAAAAAAGGTCTGGAAAATGTGATACTTTGTTTCAGCAAAGTCTTCAGCCGTTAGACATGACATCATTTCCTTCCGAGGCTTCGTCTCGAAACTGAATTGATTGAAGCCCGCAAGAGAAAACTTGCTGAGGCGTCCGCAAGTTCACAACTTCACATCACCATTGTCAAAGAAAACACACCTTTTTTTGTATTTCCAACGAAAAGGATTTTTTTTTTCCCCAGCCATTTATCACAAGTTGATCTTAAGGCTAGTGGTGCAATGCACAAACACAAATACACTCACGCACACAGGTAAGTACAACAGATTCCTCTCATGACAAAGTTTGCAGTCCCCTTGCCAAAAATGCTGACATTCTGACTTAGCCGGACTGTTACAATGCATCCAAAACTTTGAAAAGTTTCCAAATAGTTGTACTCAACTTCAAATCTTGACCAAAATGAGCGAGTAATGGTGTTGATGAGATTGGGATTTTTTTGGGTGCAGACACTTTTGGATCACGGGTCAAAACGACCCAGGAGCATTATTCTTGTTTCCGAGAAATGATCCAGGCAAGATGATTTGAAAACCGACATCAGACGTGAACTTGGCTTTGCTATGTTTTGACATTGAAAATAAGAAACAGCTCGCTGAGGAATGCAAACGTTTTTTGTGTGTTTGTTTGTTTTTTTTAATCCCCGAAGACCAGATAGATTTTGCTCAATCAATCCCACTTAACTTGTTTGTTGTTGTCAGTCATTTATTTAATACGCGCTACATATTCCCACAGATAAGCCACAAATGCCTTTCATAGGCAAGGCGGGCCTCTCAATTGACAAAATGAAACATTTCTTGCACAAGGCAACTCATGCTTGGCACAAGCAAACCTCCAAGCAGTCGCAAAGACAACCGTGAACGACATTCCGAAGCAAAGCAGAGAAAACCAAAGTCAGGTCAAGTCAAGTCACATTTCTTTCTGCTGCCCTTCATAACAAACGGCCCCAAAGGGCTTCGCATGGCCACAGTTGACAAATATTCACGACATCCCATGACCTGAAGCCCCAGGAGGGCAAGAAAAACTAATTAAAAAAAAAAAAGAAACCTTGAGAAGGGGCCGCAGATGGGGGAATACCCCTTTCCTGGATGAGCAAGCTGCAATGGATCCTCAAACATTTGACACAATACTTGTACTAAACGATGTTTGCTCAAATGATGTAAGAGTTGCCGTCAGAGAGCCTGGTCGATGAAAAACATCTTTGCAGCAGTGCCTTTGAGTGTTCGACCCGACTCTTGTCCAGCTGCGAATCATGTCCACATCGATCGGAGCGGAATCAGTACAGTGAAATCGTGCTCATTATTTCAGGAACTTAAATGACAACATTTCAACCCCCGAACAGAAAGCTATGTTGATCTTCCCATATCGTAAGTCAAATGGACTCTCTTTAGCTTCAAATTGTGGAAGCAAAATGTCAAAAGAATAAACATTTTTTCAAAATGACATATGTGACTTTCTTTTGTGGCTCGATTTCCATTGACAAAACTGCCAGCGGGTGGGTCAGCGTGACCCAGGAAACATTTCAGTGTACCAAAGAAACAGAAACACAACAGACCCAAATATTTGTCTGCTATCCCCCCAAACGTCAGGATTGTGCCTTCTGTCCGATCCAGTTGTGGTAGGTGTGGGAATGTATTCTTAATTTTAATCGAATCACTTTGACTGCCATCAACCTCACGCAGGAGATGTCTCAGCGCACAGTTGGAAAGAGATTTTTCCTTTTGGCTTTTGAGCGATGCTCGCTATTCCATGGCAGTTGAGATTTCATGGAAGAGTTGCGCAGTTTTCGGTGGGGGGTCTCAAAAACCCGACCGATGAAGCACAGCTCAGTAATGACAAAGAGCAAAACCCGTCCTCCTTCCCGTGCGTCGGCATGATGCGGATTTTCCGCAGTCGGCTCACAGAGAAGCCATTTTCCTCTCCAAACATGGAGTCCTGCAACATTTCTGCGTGACGTGGCGTCTCGCTACTTTCCATGAGTGTTGAGAAGCTACTTATGGTGCACGTCAGGGCGGGGTGGCCATCGGGAATTTTGGGAAAAATATAATGATTGTACGGATGTTGCGACGGCCGGTTAGATTGTCGGCCTCGCAGGGTTCAATTCCGGCTCCGGCCTTCCTCTGTGGAGTTTGGATTTTCTGCCCATGCCTGCGTGGGTTTTCTCCGGGTACGACGCTTTCCTCCCACATTCCAAACACATGCATGGCAGGTTAATGGAACGCGAGTGCGAATGCTTCTTGGTCGTGATTGGCTGGCAACCAGTTGAGGTTGTACCGCGCCTACTGCCTGAAGACGGTGGAGATCGGCTCCGGCACGCCCGCGACCCTTGTCAGGATAAAATGTCTCGGAAAACGGGCGGATGTTGCATATCGACTCTTCAGAGGTCCACAATTGGTTGTATTTAACTTGGAGTGGATTTTCACCTCACATTAACGAGCCACTTACGATTGATTCGACTTCTTGCAATCATATTCCCGAGTCAATTTGACCGGTTTCAGAAAGTTTCAGAAACGTCAGAAAGAAACAAAAAAATCCTCATCCCCATCACCAACCGCAGTCCAAATTCTTCTTTGTGGCGAGACTAACATTCCCCGATGAACCCGATGGAAAAGCGCAAGGCGCACAGCGTGATTCCGATGACTTACAGCTGCTGCCGGGTGGCTTTGCACCAGCTGCTCCTTCCTGCTCTTAGCAGACCCGAGGTGTCAGGGCCACACATAAATCTTTCCTCCGGCAGGGAAAGATTCCTCGGGCCAAAGAGTGGCCGACTCCCTCAAAGCTTTCATTGCAGACAAGGACGTTTACCCCGCAGGCGAAGTCGCCAAGGGTCAAAACCAGCTTGTAGCAAAGTCAGCCGTTGCTGACATTTGCTCACCCCGCTGCTTTGTTTTGAAACAAGAAAAGCTGCCGTCCGTTAAGGTTGCTAATGCGTTCGGGATTTGCCGCATTACCGTGTGTTGATGAGGCTTAGAAGCTAAGGGATGGCTCCTCTCCTTGGCTTCTTTTCAAACAAAAGCTCTGAGTTTGAAGGAAGAGAGGAGCTGCGTGCGGGCTCCGTCCGGGAAAAGTTGAACTGGTGGCCCGCTGACATGTGCGGCCATTTCCACATTCCACCTCGTGACAACGTACCTCGAGGGTCATGACGGATCTGTACGTTACAGCGGTCATACGTCGTCACCGTTTCCAATAAAATGGCCGCCAACTACGATGAATAACACAGTAAGAACATTTATCGACGTAAAAACATGAACATGTAATAAACATGTCAATGCCAAATACGTGTTTAGGAAGACAAAATGATTTTCTAAGACATGAAACAAGCAACCGTAGCGTTCCGACTCCGTCTCCGAAAACATTCCGTTGGCAAATGTTACTCGTTATTCGCTTCCCGCAGTTTGTTGCCACAAAGGCCTTTTCGCTATTTTATGGGGAAAATTGGGTCCTTATAATGACCTTGACGTTATCTTGCTATCAATCCAACCATAATCATCCATCCATGCATCCGATGGAACCACGAACATCAAGACCGAACGCTCGACGAACGTAGATTTCCGATCCCTCGCGCCTTGACGCGGTTCCGTTTCACCAGGACCGTTCCTACTCTTGCCCTTTTCTGTTCAGCTTGTACCACAGCTTCATTCCTTTCTTCTCTTTTTTTCTTGACAGAATCGTTTTCTTTTTTGGAGGAAGAAAGATAAACGGGAAAGATAAAAGCCACCACCCGTGACAATTCCTCCAGGGCTGTGAGAGCTTTCAAGACTGAGTGGGGAGGAGATGCTTGTCGGTGAACTCTAAAAGTGTGAGAACAGCCTGAAACCCGGTGGGCACATCTGGCCTAACAGGGATGCACAAAAAGTCTCAAGCACCGAAAAATGTCATCAAAAAAGTCGCCTGTTTTGAGATCGTTAAACAATTCTAAACGCCGTGGGCACACCCATGGAAAACAAAACTAAACTGCAAGAGATGTCGGTCTCCTGAACATGCCGGAACAGCAACAGGGAACACAGCCAGAAGCGAAAACCTAAAGCGAAAGATTCCTTCCACATAAACGTTGCGCAACATCCTTTGAAAGTTCACGTCGTAAAGGAC